TGGAAAATGTGACAAATGATTTATTCACGGCTATTTTAGGTCCACTTCTAATTCTGTCTTCATAAATAACAGGATTTGGACATTCCTCACAAGACGATGCAAATGCCAAAAAACGCCCCTCCTAAAGAAAAGATTTATCCCAGCTGGAGAAATGAATCCCTGTAAAACTTTGCTCGTCTGCCAAAAAGGATAACTAAATATGGATGGCATTTGTCTGGCATTTGTGACCATCTGCCTTTGTTTACTATCATTTTAATGAGTGACTCTAGCTGATTAGGTATGCACTAAATAATCCACTACCTCTTATGACATATATATTTAAACATTTTCTAATAAAGAGAAGCAAAACTCATTCATAACTGAAGTTGGAATTGAACTCTTTCTTTTCTTTTCTGTCTCTTGTGGCTCTTCGGGTGCCTTGAAAAAACATCAGAGCCTTTAGGCATGATATCTTGCAGGTAGGAAGCAAGGAAGGAAGGAAGGAAGGAAGCGTATTGATGCATCTTCCTCTGGACTGCAGTGCTGTAGAGGGCTGGGCCAAAGACAAATGGAGAGGAGAAAAAAAATAGATGAGAGAGAGAGCGAGTGCTCAATGGAAAGACAAAATGATAAAGGGTTCCAGGTGGATCTGAAGAAGATGATGTGAGCTGGAGAGACAGAGCATAAAAGGTTTAGAGGGGGTGGAGGGGTGGGGGGGTGAGGGGGTGAGGGAGCTCGGGTGGGGATTCGTGTGCTCTCTACGACGGTCTGCCGCTGAGGATCTATGACAGAGCTGCTGACCGACCCCGCTAAACTCCTAATGCTAATGAGGTTAGCTAAAATACACCAAATCTACTTTGGTTTTCATATTTAATACTTATCAGGAAGTAACGGATGTATAAAGGGGAGATCGTGGTGCATCTAACAACCATATAAGCATTAAAAAAAGCAAGAAACTCTATAAATGAACTCATCATGAATTTATACAAAAGTAATTTTACACGGCTTAACTTCGGTGTCGTTAAAAAGTTAAACATTCTATTATTCATCGTCTATCGCTTCTCACTTGAGCATACAAATCATAAAATCTTAATAAATGTTACGGTCTTGAGTAGCAACACTTGCATTAATAATGTATGTAGAATTGACCGGTCTTTTAATAAAAATGAACAAAGTGGTTGTGTGTATCACCTTGCTGCCCTTTGGTTTAAAAAAAAAAAGAAAATCCGACTTAAACTGACAGTTGAATTAGATTAGTTGTAAGGAAATATTTTAAGCCCTTGTTTATTGGTTTTAAATGAGGTATAGAGATCAAATCTGCCTCTCTAAATGCAGTTTCTCTGTCCTGTGGTTTTCTTGGACACACTCTCTCCCCTTCTCCCTAAATGGGTCAGGATATCCACAGGACGGAGGTACCCTACATTCAGAAGGGCACCCTAGTTCTCTTAAAATAATTTGAGAAGCAGGAATGCTCGGGCTGAAAATTTAGGGCACCGTCCTCTCTGCGTTTAAGCCGGGAAATGGGTATTTCACGTATCGTTCATAGCCCTCCTCCCCCCCCCGAATTAAACCCGCTCTGTTGGAGAAGATTGTGTTGCCAAGCAGAGCAATGACCCCCGTATCCCAGCAATTGAGCGGATTTGCAATCCATCATCCGCCGGCGAGGAGAGCGGGATTGTGTTTCAAATTAAACCATTTCTCTGCGCATCCACTGTTGTCATTAGTTTATTTGGGCGGCAATCGGCGATGTTGAATGCTATTGATTATCCTGTTTGGCGCGTGGTGATTTTTTTTAACAGAAAAGCTGAGCTCAGCTTACGTTCAACACAGGCCATTATTCATTTACAGAGAGCCATCAGTAGTGTGTGGGTATGTGTGTGTACAGGCTTTGTAAGGTTTGCTATATTCTGTTTATTAAGTACATGTATACGGTGAAATGTCATTAGGTATGGACAGAATTTGTTACGGTCTTTGCTTATTGCATGCTAATAAATGCAATACATATACAATACAACACAAGCTATTTTTGTAAATTGCTACTATGTTCAATCTGCCGTCTGATTGAACTTTCCAGTTAGGATTAACTGGGATCGTGCCACAAATCACAGCATAAAAAAATCATGACACCTTTTCCCTGTGACCTTGTATCTGATTAGGAGAGTATACCCGATAGATGGATGGATGTGGAACAATTTACCCTTTCAAACTCCTTGAGAACAAAGGGGCTATTGGCGTGGACAGCACTTCATACGGGAGGGAAATGAAAGTATGATTGGTGGGAAAGGCAACGCATTTGTGTCCCCTGTTCGAGCTGACTTTCCTTTTTCCAAACAGATTTGCAGGTGACGCACACAATGCAGGTATTCCTACCAGGAGAGACAGCTAGATGAATTAAATATTTATAATAAATGCAGTCCTCTTGATGTAACATTCCAATTTAAGCACATATATAACTGCAAAGTAGTTATTGTTTGGTATTAGGCAGTGATTATAATGATGACTCGGTCATTGTGAGCTTTGTTGAAAGTGCAGCTGTTTCATGATAATTCAGGTTTACATTAAACTGTTTTGCTTTCTCCGCTCTTTCAGAGTGAATTACTAATAGAAATTTCACAGATTACTACACACACACATAAATATACTCAAACATCCTTGTTTAATATATCATGTAAAATGTAAGACTTAATATATCAAGATTGTGTTTGTTCTCCACATACACAAACTTTTTCACACAACACATGTTCTTTGGTTAAATATTAAAAACTGTTGTCAAGACAAAACTCATCATATAATTTGGGCACACAACAGGATGGACATACCACTGAATTACATTCTGAAAGTCTCTAAGTGTCAACTGAAATGAAAGTTTAAAAAAATTATATTGGTCAAAAAAGAAAGAAACTATTGCCATCTACTGGCCAAAAAACAACTATTAGTTCCTCATGTCTTTGTTAGATTTTAGAGCCAAATGATATACAAACACGCACATGTTAATTAATGAGTTAATGAGAAACATGTAACTTGGAAGATTTTTCTTTACAAAATAATCTTTTCAGAAATATTCATTATTGATCCTCTAAAATGATAGTCAGGAAGTAAAGAAAAAAACATATTCTGACAGGTTTTTCTCAGGAAAAATATAAAATATGTTCTGTTTCATGATGCGTGAGTACGGAGTTACTGTATTCTGAGAATTTCTTTTATGTAAATTAAACAAGTCCACAAAAACAATCTCAGTAAAACTCTTTGTAAACTTCTTTTGGAATGTTGCCCTCTCAGTAACTTTTCTTGTTTTCTGGTTAATTTTACACAGTAAGTGTCGTGTGCTTAATTGAAAGTAAAATACAAACAAAATAATTTAAAAATGTAAGTTAGTGAGTTAAAGGACTCCTCTTACATGTTTTTTTGTGGCATAAATAAGAGATGCAGACTGATTTAAAAAAATGTTCCTCTGTTGTGGCCTTATTTTAAACTTACTCCATTACATATCACAAAATACACAATTACAGCTTAAAAATGGTGCAACTGCAGCACTTTTTGGGATCCAAAGCAGGTACGTGGCACGTTTTCTTCTGAGACCGAGTTGTCAGTGTCATCACGGTTTTTATTAGTTCTAATCTGAACAGTCAAAATCATATTTATGCATTTCGCTAAAACCGCATTATGACCGAATCAGCAAAAATGTGCTGGTGGAGATCCAAAAGAGAAAAAAATGCTGATGCGGTGCATTTGAAGTTCTTTAACCTAAAGTTATCTTAGATTTACTTATGCATAATGTTTGCCTCCCGTAGCATATGAATCGAAATGAAGGGGGTAGGCGCAGATGAAAGAGTAATTTTTAGATGACACAGAGACAAATGAGATGTGGGGAAAGTGCATCTGGTGAGCTCTGCAGTCTCATCATGCGTGGTCAGGCGTACAGCGAGATGCTCCAAACGCTGGGTGAGGATTTTGTTCTGTCACGACACCGCCGTCTTTGACAGGAAAATACAGTAGATTCAAGGATCCAGTGCGTTTGAATTATTTAGCGCTCTTTTTTCGGGTATTTAGATCATCAACAGTGTAATTTAAACATGTATTTTACAGATTTTCTGAAGTCTTTAGTAATGATTGACACAGATACCTGTTGAGTGTCTTTCAATTTCCTCCGTTAATCAGGAAAAACTCTGTTGTATCACAAAGGAAACATACAGGATGAAGGATCTTTATTTAGTTTAACCTAAAATCACCAAATATTAGCCTGAAATTTTTGGTCAGACTTGGGTAAACTGAGCCGCCCCAAATTAATGACCCTATAGTTAATCTGGAAGCCCTAAATCAAGTCAGTTTTACAAAAAAATCCACCATTCTTGTTTCTTAAAGAGTGCAACAGGGATGAGGGGCGTCAGAAAAGAATGGTTTGCAATGGTCTGATGATTAAGATGCCTAAAATGGAGGCCCGGTGAGGTCTTATAATTGGGAGCGTCCGCTCGTAAAACTGCTCTTCTCTTTCTTCTCAGGCCTTCCCGTGTCCTTACCTTTACATAACCACGTCCCATTTTGTTTGCGACTTTAACGCAGGAAAGCTCAGAAATATGTATTTACTCTTAATCCATGTGTGAGAGCGAGGGGTGTGTGTGTGTGTGTGTGTTTTGTGATGCATCTGCTCCTGTGCCCAGGGCCACTGTTCTCTCTGGAGACAAGGGGGGGGGGGGGCAGCAGCTGTTGGATGAATCCACTTATGTGAGTGTGTGCAAAAGCCTTTGGGAGAGAGACCAAGCTGGAACTCACCAGTCGACGAGCAAATACCATCAGAAACCTTCTGGTCAATCACCTAACTGGACAGAAGTTTAAAACCTCCCCGGTTTATCGAAGCATCCTGTTCTCCTCCTTCTACTTTCGCTTTGGCCTGACCCACAGCTGCAGTTTGGGTCTTGGCAAATTTGTTGAAAATGCCAGATGCCCCGCGATGCCGAGATGAAAATGGGGAGAGATGTTTCGCGTGTGGAAACAATCTGGGAATCATTTCTTTCTGTCAAATCCCATTAAGCCCCGCCGGACGGCGTGAGGGATTTTCGGAGGCCCGTAATGTCGGAGTCATTAGTGTTAACTTCAAGGAAGTCCCCTGAGATGCAGGCGGCTAAATGAGGTGATGAGAGGAGAGCGTTTTACCATCAAGGAGTCACTGATCCAAAATCTGCCGTGATTTTTCACGTTGAAATTGAGTCGGCGAATAACAATAAAGTTCTTTTAGTCGTCTTTTTTTCTGACGGTTACCGCATAATCTGCTGGTCAGGGGAGCGGAGATGTGCTCTGACTTCCAGTATCGGCTTGTTATTCCGCAGGACTTAAAACACTGATGTTTGCAGATAACATCAGTGCGCCGCTTTCTGCTAATGCAGCAATCTGCCTCATGCTGATTATCCTGTTATACAGCAGCAGTGCACACACACACACACAGAAACACACACACACACACACACAGGGCACACACGCAAACAATCCCAGCGCTCGATACGTGCAACGTCTTGGGATTCTTTTTAATGACAAATATTGCAACAGTGTGGCCACATATCCCACAATACTGCACACTAACGAAAGTCAACAAGTATGTTACAGTATCGAGTCGAGAATATCTGCAGTGAGTGTCGCATTGCAAAAGGTTTTTTTACCTCATCAGTCTGTTTTATTCCCTAACAGTGTAAGCTACTGTGCTCCCCTCAGGTTGGCTCTGATTTCTAGCAAGGCTATAGACATTCCTGTGTATTAGGACTAGTGTTGGAGTCATTTTTCATTCATATAACAGGGTTTTTTTTTGCACATTCATTAATGTTTAAAAAGAACTCCAGCGGATTCGTATAATGATGATATAGTGATTAATATAATGATTTGTATAATACGGATTTTTTAGAGATTTAATTAACTCAATTAGGAAAACGCTTTGCTGAACAATAAATGTACAATAAATGTGGAGTTAGGACTGTGTACGGGTTCCTGACAAAAACAGATAAGAACATGTGTATTAAGCAGCTTCTCAGGTGTGCAGGCTGAGGAAAGAACAGTCTAATTATAACATGTGCATTTGTTATTGGGATAAACATGCGCACGTGTTATGAGGATGTCCTGAGTCCACATAGAACATACTGTATGCATTCGTTTGATTTTAAAATGGTTATGCAGACTATTGGTGCAATATCTTTTAACTGTAAAGGACAAGCCATGTGTCTCGATGGAGACATTTGTGCAGCACTACGTTCAGTCAGGGCTGTTAAGTCTCATTGGGTCAAATTTAGACGGAACAATAAATTGGATCCGGACACAAAGTACTTTTCCTTTTCATTTGTTTTTAAAACGGATTCAGCACTGCAGATTCTGACGCTGAACATTTGCATTTCAATGAGCGGGGCCTGCCACATGTTTCCATCACAGTTTAGTGTACAGTAAGTTATGCATCAGATGAGTCCTCCCGGTGCAGAGAATCATCAGTTTAAGCCACATCCACGGCTGCCGTAAGCTGTACGCCCAATTTAAGAGCCCGATCCGTGTAATTGAATGTTTTTATGTAAAGAGACAGGGTGGCGTGTGCTCTCAGAGCTGTTCTGATGTTCGGTTCTGAGTCTGTTTCACACAAAACGCACACACAGACATGATCCGGAGCAGTCCTGATGCAGTTCTCGCCTCTATTTTCAGTTTATCTCACATTAACTCACGTTAACTGCTTTATACCATGCTGTCACAAGCTAGCTCCTCAGTGGCCTCGCCTTTATCTTCACATGGAAACACTATTTTGGTTAAAATGTCTCCTTGTCTTAGGTCTCTACAGTCATTTAATAAAACCTTCCCCTAATCTTTACCTTTTCTCACTGATTTGCCATATGCTGCAGTAATCATTGATAAATACACTTTGGATTTCAAACAATGGCAGTCTTATCAGTACACAGCACCATAAGGGTTTTTTGTCTTAAATCGCTTTATATATAGCTCTCATCCCAGGTGTTTTCTCCTCTCCCAGCTGTATCTGTCCATTATTTCTGCCTGGAGCTGTCCTCTTCTGCTTTGAAACGTGTGTTTTAAAAGTAATTAACTCCTCCTCCTCCCAGGGAGCGTATGCGGCCTCTGCATTGTTGCAGGAATATATCGGGGAGCCCCTGAATGCGCAGGCTTTCCTCACTCATTACAAAGAGCTGACGGTGCAGCTTTAAAGCCCCAGTCCTCCTCCTCCTCCTCCTCTTCCTCCTCCTCCTCCTCCTCCTCCTCCTCCTCCTCCGCAGTGCCCATGCAGGATCGACATTAGGATGTAACAGTAAAGCACATCAGTCTCCCAGAAGCTGCTACTCTGCCCCGGAGCTCTGCAGGTCCCCCCCAAAAAGAACTTTCTCCAACTGCAGCATTTCTTTAATCAATAAATACTGCAGCAAAAAAAAGCCGATTGTTATCAAGTCCACGCCGTGGGAAATCAGGCTGCTTTGCTTTGTGAAAATAATTCAAACGGATTAAACACCTAATGCTTATTTTCATACAGCGGCCCCGAGGAGCAATGCGCAACATCTGGAACAAACAACGACGAAAAAGGAAACACATACATGAAACCAATGTGTCAGAACACATGCTAAAACAGAAAAATGTATTTTGTTGCTTTCGGTTAAGTGTTCATCGGTTTCCTGTTGTGTTTTCTGGAATGGGGTTTTGTTGAATTATAAATTTGAGCTCATTTTGGGTATTTGCACCTCAGGCCCACAGGAACTTGAAGGAAGCAAAGAAAAGCAGGTCAGTAGTGTGATTATTCAAACCGCTTCACAAAACAAAAGCATCACGGTGAGAGGATAATAAAGACATTTTGTCATTTTTTAAAATGGTAATTAATTGATTAACATTAAAAATAAGTAAACTGTACTACGGTGCAATGTCATGGCAGATTTATGTATCATGGAAAAATAGCAATAAATCTCACCATAAAAGTTCAGATTTTGTACAATCTGGTGGAATTGAACTCTTTAAGCATTGGAGCATCGGTGGCTCAAATCCCAATCTGCAAAATCTTTTCTCTTTTCAACTTCCTTTCCCTCAGGATTGGGATGTAAAAGTAGTTAGAATAAGAGTACACGATTAGGTTAAGATATAAAAAAATATGGTTGGGGTTGCAAAACTGTCCACCATCACAGAGTTTAATGCTCATTGCTAATGTCACACAGCACAATTCTGACTAACACAAAGCAGTCTTCCACCATATTGCTATACTCTGGGCTGAGTACAATCAATGTTACAATCCCTTTTCCCCGGGCAATCAGGGAGCACTTGATGTGATTTCCACAACGTCTCATTTGGCAACAAATATATCTCCGGCTAAATTTAGACCACTTCAAGCTCAGGCAGTTTAGTCCTGATGGCTTAATTTACATATACCCCTAATATCTGTACATTTGTGAGGTGCATGACAGAGATCTATAAATCCCTCTAAAACCAACAAAAACCAACCAGGATTTAAAGATTTAAGTTGGTTTGATCATCTGATATCTTTTCAGTTAACCCACAGAGTCTACAAAATGCAGTAATAACGTTATCGTGGCAAAATTACACATAAAATGTTCTTTGCTTGATGCTAAGAACAAGCTAAATGTATCAGGAACCAGGACCTTTCTGCCAGGGGGTTCTGGGTTGGAGTCCCCGGGGGAACCAGGACCTTTCTGGGTGGAGTCTGCATGTTCTCCTGTGTCTGTGGGTTCTCTCCGGGTTCTCCGGCTTCCTCCCACCTGCATGTTAGGTTGGTTGGACTCCAAACTGCCCTTAGTGTGAGTGTGTGTGGTTGTTCGTCCTTGTGTGTCTCTGTGTGTCCCTGTGATGGACTGGGGACCGTCCGGGGGGACCCCGCCTCTCCCCATTGGCTACTGGGATAGACTCCAGTCCCCTACCGACAGTAATGATAATGGATGGATGGATAACAGCTCCAATTTTGACGACTTTATAGATATTATATATGGATATATATTATATATAGATATTATATATATTCCTTGTAATTGTTTCTCTGTAATTAGCAGGATTTCTCGTGTGCCTGAAGGTTTTGAGTATCAGTTGTAAACAGGACTTCTTGAGTTTAAATACACTCACGTGTAGTAAACCTTTATTTTTTAACTGATCATAACCAGTTTTAAACCTTATTATCTAAGGACAATCTCACAGTTTTCAGACCAAAAAAATGCACGGAAGGTTGCTATCATCATAATTGTGTGATGACGCATATTCATGTCAGTGTTGCCGCATTTCAGACTGAAAAATTAAGTGTGGAAGCCCCCTTCCCCCGGGACAAACCCTTCTTCTTATAGCCTCCTATGGTCAGTTACCCAATATGCAAATGCCCAGCGACACCATTTTGTATTGTTTGTCACATCCGCTTGGTGTTAAACAAGTGCAACATTCATGAAAAACAAACAACGAAACAGTGAGGAAGAGCAAACTAATTTCACACACGAAAACCAATAGCTGGTTAATGGGTTTAAAAATACGTTTTCTCCTTTAAATTTTCCAATCCTAACCGAAAAGAGACCAGCAAACAATTCAACAACCTTTGCTCATTGGTAACTGATTCTTTCTCTTTCTCCGACCTGTCCTCTCTCCGTTTGTCTCTCTGCAGGATCCTGCTGACAGTGGTGGTGATTTTCCGTATTCTGATAGTGGGAATAGTCGGCGAGAAGGTGTACGAGGACGAGCAGATCATGTTCATCTGCAACACCATGCAGCCCGGCTGCAACCAGGCCTGCTACGACAAGGCCTTCCCCATCTCGCACATCCGCTACTGGGTGTTCCAGATCATCCTGGTGTGCACGCCCAGCCTGTGCTTCATCACCTACTCGGTGCACCAGTCCGCCAAGGCGCGCGACCGGAGCTACTCCCTCCTCCACTCCCACATGGACCACCACGGCCACGGCCACCACGGTCGCCATCACGACCACCACGCCCGCAAGCTGCACGCCCGCAACATCAACGGCATCCTGGTGCACCCGGAGTCCAGCAAGGAGGACCACGACATGGACGTGAAGGAGATCCCCAACGGGCCCCGGGGGCTCACCCAGACGCACAAGAGCTCCAAGGTGCGTCGGCAGGAGGGCATCTCCCGCTTCTACGTCATCCAGGTGGTGTTCCGCAACGCGCTGGAGATCGGGTTCCTGGCCGGCCAGTACTTCCTGTACGGCTTCAACGTGCCGGGGATGTTCGAGTGCGACCGCTACCCGTGCGTGAAGGAGGTGGAGTGCTACGTGTCGCGGCCCACGGAGAAGACGGTCTTCCTGGTGTTCATGTTCGCGGTGAGCGGCATCTGCGTCCTGCTCAACCTGGCCGAGCTCAACCACATCGGCTGGAGGAAGATCAAGTCGGCCATGCGGGGCGTCCAGGCCCGGAGGAAGTCCATCTGCGAAGTGCGCAAGAAGGACGTGTCGCACCTGTCCCAGGCCCCCAACCTGGGCCGGACCCAGTCCAGCGAGTCGGCCTACGTCTGACAGAGGCTTCTCCGCCTGGGAGCTCGAGGACCTTTAACTTTTTTGAGGAGAGCTTTTCCCCGGCCCGCTCGGTAGAGAGCGCCAGACTGGCCACTATATTTTTATTCGGGAGCACAGACTCCGCGTAGTCACAGAGGAACGTTTAGTAACAAAGTTGATTTTTGAAGAAAAAAGAAGAATCACCTTCCTTATCGAAGTGACATCCGTATTGCTGACGCACATAAAAAACTGACAAAGATGAAATTCCTGCTCTACCTAGGCGACACTAGGTGCCTTCAAAGAAACTGAAAGACGAAACTGAGCAATTACAAATAATATCGAAATACTGTAAAGATAGTCCGAGGTCGAATTACCTGAATGATTTTATCATTTGCCTTTGCCGTAGGTTCGAATAAATAAAAAAAATCCATGTATGTGTGCATATGCAAGAGCTTAAGCGTGTGCATGCATACGCATGTGTGAGTGTGTGTCGGCTTGTCTCTGATTGAAATCAGAAAACTGAATGCTAAAATTAATCGGAGCTACTGAAAGAAATGTAATGTTATTTCTCACCGTCCACATCGTCACTCCGTGGACGATCAAAGCACTTTTTTTTTTAAGACACCAAAACTATCTGCGCACAAAGTGAGCAACACAAACTGGAACACAGTATTTGCTGTTGGTGTTGCAGGCTATTTTGGAAAGAATATCACGGATTTTCACTTTTTTATTTTCTACGTTAGTTTTAATGAGATAACAGAGTGAAATTAGGACCTAGGAGCTCAAATTGAGACACAGTATTGCCATTGAGTTACGCTTCATTTCCAAACAATGCATCAGCACTCTGTCTTACGCTGTTTACTTAAAAAAAACGACAGAGAAAAGTTAAGAGTGTGGCGTTGTCTCCACTTTTGCATATAAAATTGTGAAAGCTGATGAATGGAATCACATGCAGACCTTTTTTTTTTTGGTTAAACAGGTAAAGAGATGTCGTCACAAATGTTTTAACGTGTAACCTCAAGCTTTTTTTCACACGCAACTTTGGTGCCATATTTCGAAGTTACTGTACATAGACAAAATGTAGAGATTACATTTAGCCTTTCCCCTAAGAGGTATAGATAGACATTATGCGGGTGGGTGGGTTGGTTGGTTGGGGGGCGACAGGGGCTTATGGGTGGTTATGAAGATTAATCATAGATTTCAAGCTTTAACAATATGTATCATTAATGTGCTATTTGTTATGCCTTCTGCCCACTAATGGATACTATACGTTCCAAAAAGTGTTTTCCCCTCTTTGGACTTTGAAAAAGGCATGTTACCGAAGCATTAATAGAATGGATAGATTATGAAATGTAAGTTAAAAAAAAGAGACTGTTTTATTTATTTGCATCCTGCTCCTGTGAAATGTAATAGTCAGCATGCATTAAGATGAAAAATATTAAGTGATATGAACAAAGAATCTTATTATGGGAATACTGAAAGTTATTACCTGAAAGGTGCCACAATTGCAGCAATAATAATATATAATATATGGAAAAATGTAAATAAATGATTATGCAGTAATTTCTGGCTGTGCTGGTATTTACAACGAGGTCATAGTTACAACAGATGGATTTTTAATGTGTGTCATGCAAAAGAGGTGACTAACAGACTCATCAACCACATGCTCCATCATGTATCCCTTTTTTTTAATTATATGATGCCTTTAATGAAGGGTTTTTTTCATTTTTACTATGATATTCACATTAAGGTGCAAACTATGAAGATATATCATTCTATTCTGTGCAACATCATAAGCATTTTATTTGACAAATAGGACTAATGGAATGGAACCTTTCATGTTTTTAGTTACTGTGGAGAAAAGATAATCAGAATTAATGCCTTTCTCACAAATGGCTGTGGTTACACAAATTTGAACAGGTAAGGGAAGAGTTTTTTTTTTTTTTTTTTTATTTTTTAAAAATAAACTGGGACATAGAGATGGTTTCTGTTGTTTTTTTAAACAAACGAGGTGCATATATATATGATAAGTCATGGAAAATGACGTTCTCCCGAATCGTAAAGCAGGATCATAAAGGGATAATATTGTAGCATGGCTGTACAAAGATGGAAAATAGGAAATTCAAATGAGTTCACGAGTTATACTATCACCTAATGCCTCTTTCTGTAAATCAACCGTTGAGAACAACACTTTGCTTTCTGAGCCACAGACTCAAAACCTGCTTTAACATTTATTATTCAACACTAAAACATGATACATCGCTGAAAAAAATACATCAGCGCTGGGATTCTGTGGATGAATCACAGATATCTAATCAGCTCATTTACTTGCTGTAAGTCTCCTGAGTCGAGAAAAGTGAAAATAATGCGCTCGCCCCTTATATAACGTCTCGGACACCCACTTGTGTTTCTCAGACTCGCCGTGACTCATCCGGTAGGTAGGTGAGTTATTATAGATGGGACCTGATAATTTCAGTAATGAGCAAGGTTACCGAGGGGAGAGGGGAGAGAAGCGTGGGGGGGCGGCGAACCTTTTAGCGTTATTAAACCTTCAGTCGCATGGCTCCGGCCTGGGAAATCCTGAAAGCAGAGCGAGACTCAAAGGAAGAGGAACAAGGGGGTGATGAAGAGGAGTGTTAATAAAATTGATGGTCTGATAGGACACACCCTGGTCTGAGTGTTATGTGGATGGAGGAGATAAGCTCTGTGTTGTGGAACCATAAAGCCCCCGGACAAGTTTCAAACACAGGCCCGTTAGAGCCTGAACAAAAAGCGCCGCGGAGGATGTGAGCGGGCCGGTTGCCGTGGCGACGGGAGGGGCAGTAACGACGTTAAGCGGCACTGCGCCACGTCTCCCGCCTCTGCTCCACACTTTCCACACCAGCCCACGGCAGGCAGACTCACTCTGAGGGCAAGTTAGAGGCTCCCTTCGCTGAGCGTTTCACTGCAGTGCTGCAATCCCAATATAAGAGGGAGCCGAATAAAATGACCAATCTAAAGATAGACCTGGTTACGGCCCATTACCAGAATGTCGAATTGAAAAATGTGAAACAAATTTGAACAATGTGATCGTTTGTTGAGGAAAAGAAATGGTAACCAATGATGAAACTGCCTTACCTTGAAGTTTTAACAGCTATATCTAATCTATATTCTTAGAGCTGTAACTTAACACCCACACACTGAACCATCACTGTTGTGCTCTCTGTGTCGAGCATCAGATGTAGAACAAATGAATAAACTTGAAGAGTTAACACTTTCCTTCTTTTGCATTAAAGCATACGAGCAGATTTGTGTAATCATTGTTGGGAATCTTCAAAATCTAAAGGAGAGAAAGTTAGGATTAGAACTGGGCCACAAACACAAAGCAGTTTCGTTCAGAAGCAATTTCTAAACTAACACTCCGGTAATAAAATGCAGCAAAATCCTGTCAAAGCATCTTCCTTTGAAGAGCTCTGCAAAGAATTACCATTACCATACCAATCCAGATTCCTATTTAGAGTTGACCTAATGGGTCATAATACATTTGTACTCTTTTAAAACAGGATTATAAATTAACTACATCAAAAACCTATGATCATTCCATCCAATTTTTATGTAAATGCTTCAAAATCAAATGTGAGCTCAATCATATCTCAATGCTACAAGATATAATTAATTATATAACTATGAATGTAACTGTGAATCACAAAAAAATACATATAATGAATAAAATTAGAAGATGCATTTAAACACTTATCAAATAACGCTATTGATCAATTATCAATTATCTTAATCAATGGATTGAAAAGTCTATGAAATTTAAGAACGCTTTGAAAGAAGAAAGATTTGCAAATGACCAAAAGTGTCAGTGATGATAAAAGGCTGGTCCAGGTTGCCGTGGTGATCTCACTGTATTTTACAGATGAACGCAGTCACATGTTCACCCTGGTTTCTCATCAGGAGGCTGACCTTCATCATTCCACTCATTTACTTTCCAATCTGCCCGTTCTACTTCATCATGAGTCAGAAGTCAGTGGATTTTTTTTTTCATTCCACAAATTTTCATGTCACTGCTGACTTGTTTTTCCAAGATTAACCTCAAACTCTCTCAACATCTCTCTTGGTTTAAAATCTCCGTCAATCTAATTTCCAATTTTGAACTTGAAATGTTATCTGTTTTATTTGACCCACTCGTTTCCTTCCACCAAGCAATGGAAGGACATTAAACTTTGATATAGTTTCTTTACTTTCATGGGATATTCTGAGCAACACTATGTTGCCTCTTCTTTTGGCCAGTCTATTTTATTCGTCTTTGAACAACCAGAGACAAGAAAAAACACACAAAAGTAAAAGCCTATGCACAGTGGATAAGATGGAGAAAATACCCAGATGACTTCTGTTAACGTGCACACTGAGGCCTCCAGATTGGCCTTTTGAGAGAAGATTTTCGGAGCAATGAGCGATCAAAATGATGGAGAAAAGAGTCACATTTAAAACAAAGAAAAAACAAACCAAATGTGTTAGTTGACTGGGTGAGTATGAGAGAAAAAGAGAAGTCCAAGAAGTCCAAAAAGTCCAGTGTTTATAAAACAAATTGATGGGTTGACTCTGACTTGTGCTGATTTTCGTCTTTTCTCCATGGATCCTTTAGTGTTATTCTCATTGAGCTCCAGCAGGTGCATCATTGTTAATTTCCCACAAAACCCACGGCTCACATACTGTGACTGATTAGGTTTGGTCAACTCATTACAGGAAGCCCCCGCTTGCCTCTTTGTCAAAAGTTGTGCTGCTCTGTGACTTAGTCTCCTCGGCCGGTTTATTAACATCCCGGAGATAAGGCGGCACGAGGAGGGGGAATCATTTCATTATTCCTCTTCTGTGTTCCTGTAATATTTCCCTCTCTGCCACTTCGCTCACTCGTAAAGATGAAATTGGAGTTGACTTATTCCTCTCTGGAGTCTGCTCCACTCCCACTCTCCTAATGGCCCTGGCCATCAATTTGTGTCAGCCTCTATTCTAGTCGTTCGCTCTCCTTTTGTGATTTCCTCGCTTGGCACGGTCTCTCCATTTCTTCCTCCCTCCCCTACCTCCATCTGGTTCTCTCTCCCGTCTTTCCGCTTTTTTTCTCCACCTCCACGTGATTTATTCTGCCCTCCCGCCATCCGCTGACCTTCTCCGTCCTCGCTCTCAGCCTTTCTTCTCCTGTTTGTGTTCGTCTGAAAAAGACCCAGAAGCCAAAATTCAGCCGTCTGTTTTCCGAACTTAAGTTCCTCCAGGCCTCTCGTTTCGATGCAGTTTTTCTCCCACCGCAGAGGATTTTTGCACCTGCCGACAAAAGCAGGAAGCTTTGTCGCTCAAGCTTCTTCCACTGCTGATAATCCTAGAAATATGACAACTTTAATCCACATCAAAGAGTTAATCCACTTCGGATTTCCAGAGCTAGCCACGTATGTTATTGCATCTCATTGGATTAGCTCAAGTGGCACCGGGTTACATTTCCAAACTATCTCAACTAACTACAATACTTTAAAATTTTGCAAGCATAAAAAATACAAAACAATCTATTCATATCCCATAGTTGCCTGGTTGTTAGGACAATGAGACAGGACTTCCTGTTTAGCAGAAGTATCTGTCGTCCACAGGGCCAGAGGCTGTTTAGAGACGTCTAGTTATTAAAAAGAATAATCTTGAGCTAACGGGGTTAAACATCTTGCTCATATTCAATTGATTCTCAGGTAAGCACTGTAGATTCGGTGTGGATTTCAGAACAATCCTGGAGTTTTCAAAAGGTTGATGAGGTATACGGACATGGGCTGTTTCTCTGGTGGTTTTCTTCTGATCACTAAGATTCCACATACAACACGTATTTGTTCCAGTCGGTTCCTAATTCCTCACCCATCCCCCAGCTCTGTGTTCCCACCGAATCAATACACAGAGGTCACATAAATAAAGTCTGATCTTCTGAACAGTTAGCATGCGGCCGGCACTGATTGGCCGTGTGCAGAGAAACCAGTCAGTCAGGATTAATGAGTGACCCCTGTGGCTACAAGTTTGTTTTAGAATAGGATTTTACACAAAATGAAAAGTTAACAAAGTTATTACTGAAAGCCCACATCAATGTTATAAGGAGAGGATTATTTGTATTCATATGTTAGGGTACAATACAGTTTAGTGGCTCAGTAGCTAGGATGCTAAACTGACAGCCTCACCTGAGAAAATGGTCCCGCTGTTGGAAATAATCACTTTATTTTGGCAGTTTTTCTTTTTTTAAAAATGGACAAACTGTTAGAATAGCTGGACTGTATATAATGTATATAACATCCAACTTTCATGACCTGAGATTTTGTTTTGTTTCTTAGTTCTTTTTTCCTCATGTTTCAGTTTCCTGTGATTTTTTTTTTGTTGGTAGTCTTTGGATTTTGTTCTTGTTTTTTTTCCCCTTATTTATTCCTATACCCTGTATCTTTTTCCTTGTTTTGGGTATTGTTTAGTTTTTTCCCAGTTCAGTTATATGTTGTATCCAGCCCCTTTTGTAAGTAAATTAGTTTCCTTAACTTTCCTTGGTTCCTCTCTGTGTTTTCCTCCTCTGGCCTGCATTTGGATCCACCAACCCAACACCAACCCAAACTCAGTGACCTCTTTCTTTACACTTGACAGGAAGAAAAAGTAAAGTTTCCATAATTGTATGGATGTGATATTTCGTCCGAATGGGTCAGAAACAACTGGACCACCCACGGTCTTAATCTACATTTCTTTATTCACCCACATAACTTACACCTCCTGCTGTTAATGATCCGTGGTGATGGTGCATGAAAAACCAAGATAAAGAGCTGACCCTGGACACCGGTCAAGGTTTTTTCTGTTTGTTATGACACTGCAGAGAGCTTAAAATGATGCACACCAACCTGATCTGTATGACTCATTCAGATAAATATTTTGCATATCCTGTCAATCAAAACAACTGCAGAATACTGTGTTTGAAATGTATTTCAAAAAATTAAACAACGGCAGAATTCAGAGTTCTTTGTTCAACTCAGCATGCAGAGAATCACTTCTTGCTGGACACAATTCATGTCAACATTTTATCTCACGCTGGCACCCGGCCATCGGAGCCATTACAGAAATATGCTAACAAATAAATGTCCGGCATGGTGAGCGGAGCCCGTGCATTAACAGAGGTTTAAAGAACAAGCAGCATCCAAGCTCTGACAGAGTTTGTCTCATCATCATCGAAAAGTCAAGGATGTTTCTCGGTATTAGCATCTTGTCATTGCCCCTAATTTCCCTTTTATTTTCAGATGATTTATGTTTCTCTCGTCAAACAAAAGTATCTACCATAAAAGTCCCACGGTGAAAGAGATGAATAACAGATAAGATAATTTTATCTAGTCATGCTAACATATTTACAACAGTAATGCTTTGATTTATGATTTAGTAAACACCACTAAACTCTTAACATTTCCTTGTAATGCTTAAAATGTATATTATATGTTCTTTCTTATGTATTTGCCTGCCTAGGGACTACGGATGAAAACTAGCTTTCTAGCTATAATCCGGCATATATACATTTGTTTTTATACTGATGTTCATTAATGTGCTTTGTCCCTATTTAAATAAATAAATACATACATAAAATAAAAAAATAAAATAAAATAAATAAAAAAATAAAAAAATAACTAAATACATAAAATAAAATAAAATAAAATAAATATTATAAATAAAATAAATAAATTATACAACCATGTTTATGCCATGCTGCTGTTCCAAAAAAGATGGGACGCTATGTATAACACAAACAAAAACAATACAGTGATTTGCAGAATTAATAATCCAATATTCATTATTAATTTAGTATTAATGCTATTTCCGAATAGAAAGACTAATGGAAAATTAAAGTGAAATGTCCCATTAGCTTCATGGTGATTGGCAGAGTGGATGTTTGCTCACGCCCTTCATGGTAGAAAATTGGATTTGGAGATAAAGACCAGGAGATAAATGGTCTTAAAATTTCTCATGTAAATGTTTCACGATGATTGTTTTCGTTGTTGTGGGAAGAGCTTGTCATCTTAATGCACATACAAGTTTACATTTTTCTCGTTGAAGCCAGATTTAAAGGGATTTGGTCTCAAATCCCTGTAAGTAAATAAACAATAAACAATTCTGCAACTATTTAGATTGTGTTATAAAGATGTAAAAGAATCAACAAGGCTAAAAGCTCGGCCAAGCTTGGTCCTGAGGGGGGGGGGGGGGTGTCATTAGCTTACTTTATGGTAACATTGTTGTACTAGTGCAAGATGTGCCATCCAAATCCTTTTAACCGTGCTAAGCTTTCTCAGGTCAGAGAAAAGCTAATATCTTATTCATTCATCCATCTATTTTTGAGCACGGAGGTAAATCTCAGTAAAAAATCAGATTTTAGAGGGCGTTTTACGTTCTGTTTTTGGACTGGACTTAAATTATTCAAACGGGATTGAAAAGAACAAAACTCTGAACCACATTTGGTCTATTTTTATTTCTCTGTTTGTAACTGTGGAACAGCTTCAGATTTAACGCCCAGATGACGTCACCATGCTGCGTCCATCGGGGGGCTCTGTTTCAATTAGCAGCTCTCAGCTTGACCGTAAACACTCAGCAGCATATTTGTTTACCTCATGTTACGGGGAAATGAATCTGTGAAAGGTTAACCGTAGAGGATGACTCATTTGAACTAAATGGCGTTTTAAAACGAGATCATAACGGGATCAAAATCGTTATGTGATGCTTATTCCACAGATCGACACCATTGTGTTAATGTCAGCTTATATTAGTCACACAATGACAACACAAAGAGACCACCAGATGTAGCTAAAGTGTAGGAACAAGCCTGTCAGCTTTTGTGTCGAGAATAAAAAAAAGCTGCAAAACAACAGCCTGGAGCTCTTTCTACTTTAATAGATAGCATTTGGCAACAGTCCAACAGAACGTGGTTTATGTTTAAAATCCTCCGATCGCATCCATTTGGGCAGAAGATGCGATATGTCCAAAATGCAAACTCAGGGAAAAAAGGGGACTGTAACCACTGGGGCTGTTGGGGAAAAAAAAAAAAGAAAAGAAAAGGGAAATCCAGCAGATGAGAGTGTTTCCCTCTTGCTGTTTTGCTAAGAGCTCACCCATATGTGGAATTTCACATCTTTGCGCAAGTTTCTTGGACAATTTTCCCACACAAAAAACACAAACTTTTGTTTGTAAGATGATTTAAATAAAGCAGAATGGGTGAGGTCGTAAAAGGCCAGACTCTTCTATAAACCATGAACAGCTCCTGATGTTTTATGCAGTTGTTGTTCAGGACGAGAGGAAGCGTTCCCACAAAAACAACACCTGGACCCTTTGTTTTTTTTGTGCTTACACGTAAGATTCTTGCCTTTATGTGACTGAGAATCAGTCGAAGGACATTGTGGCCAAACCTGTCTGATTCGTGCCATCGTTTCCTAACACAAAATGATCTCACGGCTGATTGGATGAGACTACCGGCTCCTGACTGTTATCCCGTCTGATGGCATCATGTGGAAGGCCCTTCAGGCCTGGACCTGCCTCTGCTGTCGGTGGGTGACGAGGTTGGAATGCTACTTAGAGAGGGAGTCTCTTTTGTCGTTGTTAAAAACCGCCTGAAGCTTTTTTTCCCTCCTCAGACTGTTCACACGGACGAGAATCAGGATTCACATATTCAGACATTTTGATTCGTTTATTTGATAGGGACAAGTATGTTTCATGAAACATGTCACACACTAAAAAAAATTTTTTTTTTTTTTTTTGTTTGTTTGTTTGTTTGTTTTTATGCAGTTTTATGCAGTTCTTTTATTTAAAATGTCTTGTCTTAATGTAAAGCACATTGAGTTGCCGCCTGGTATAAATTGCGCTATATAAATAAAAATGCCTTGCCTGCCTTGCCTAATTCTCAATGCCTGTCCCCTGTTGGGCTTTTACACAAAACACAATGACTGTACACAAGATACAACAGAACAAATTACACACTAAAACATCACAGATACAAGATCAGGTCAGTTAGATTATTAATGTTCTGTTCACATGTCTGACCTCTCAATAAAAAGTCTTTAAGTTTATGTTTAAAAAGGACCCAGTTTGACTTTCTTTTGAGTTCTGCAGGTAATGTATTCCAGGTTTTTGTGCCTCGTACAGTGAAAGCTGATTGTCCGAAGAAAGTTTTGCATCTGAGAGGAACTACTACAGTCACTCAAAACCTCAGGGGCCTCATCATGCAAGCATTTGTAAACCAGTTTTAACTGAGCAAATCTGACAAAGTTCTCAAAGTTTAGCATTTTTAAATTGTTCAGACTAACACAGTGATGAGACCTGATTGGTTTTTTAAATCTAAGATTTTTATAGCTCTATTGTATATCATCTGAAGAGGCTTGAGAGTGGTGCTTGTGGCCTGTGACCAATAAAAGATGACGGATTTTTCACGTCTCATGACCTGCTCTCTGTTCTGTTTCCATCATGAAACCCGGCATGGAGGGGGGGATTGACATTTTACCACCGTCTCTTTCAGTTTCAGGCGGATTTGAAAACCCACTGGCACTTTAAACTGTATTCAATCAATCATTTGCAACCTCTCTGCTTTCCAACTGGTCATACTTCACTGTTCTCCAGGATTTTAACACCCCTCCTCCCTCCCTTTCTTCTTCACAATCCCGTCCCGCTCTCCAGTGGCAGACGGAGAAATTTGGAGAATTCTTCCCGGTGACCACACCGCGCTCTCTCACGTCACACACGCACTGTTTTCCTTCCCCTTTTCCTTCTCCTAAATAAGGAATTACAATCTGAGTGGGGAAAAAAGAAAGGAGGACGGGGCGGGTCAGAGAGTGAAATAAGAGGACCTGAAGGCGTAGCTCTCTCTCTCTCTCTCTCTCTCTCTCTCTCTCTCTCTCTCTCTCTGTTGACTGTGGTTAAGTCATATACTCCAGATAGGGGGTGTTTGCTCTATTTCTGTTGGCAGTACACTGCACCGTGGTGTCGAGGAAGAAGAGAAGCGGGAACACAGTCACACAAACCCAGAACCCACCTGTATTCACCTGAAAGTAAGTAACCCCTCCTCATTTTTCTCCTCTTTGTTTTCTCATCAATGTCCTTTTATTCTGGCAGTCAAAAGGTTTCTTTGCTCTCTGGTGGTATTTGTAGCTAATTCTATGAAGGAAGCATGAACAAATTCAATGTGTCACGCACCCCGCCCTTGCTCTTGCTCTTGCTCTGACTCTCACTAGCACATGTTTAATGATCCACAGGCTCAAAACTAAGCCACAAGTTAATGTTTAGTAATCACATAGCAGAATAGATGCTATCTTTCCTCCCATTGTGTGCTTACAGCGTGAGAGAGAGGCCCGCCGGTTTTTCAGCCCGGGAAATGTCACATTTAGTCATTCTGAAGCTGCTTTGAACACGAGCTCCTTATTCAGGAAATGGCAGAATGTTTGAAAGTGCGTTACGCAGTCACACTTCTGAAGATAAGTCTTGCGCAACAGAGAATTCTTATCTTAGGCTGAGATACAGAAAGATGAGAGTGAGAAATGTGTGTACAAAAAATAGTTCAAAGTTCAAACATTGCTGTGAACACTTGTCCTTAATCCGTTAGTCTGTGGCCATGATGAGACAGTTTGTGAAACTTTGTCGCAATGGAAGATATCTGTGAAACACCTTTGAATGGAAGACTTCAAGACACTGAGATATGAAAGTGTAAGCGGTTTGGGTGGGGTATGGTGTCAGCGATGAATGAGAATTAAGAGAAAGGAAATACACCGTTAAACCAAGAGTTAAGTTTTCACTGAGTGAAAATCATGTTGAAAGAAGTTATATAATCTTTGGACAAAGCTAAGGAAGGGCAAAAAAGAATACAAACAACTTAGCAAGGTCTAGCTTTGGCATCTTCTCTAAATTAAGGAAACATACAATAAATGAATATACAATTAATATTTTACATAATCACACAGATGTGTCAAAGAACAAATATGCAATGTGAATTACATCAATTATCAATAGCAAAGATTTGCAAAATGTGATTACACAGGCATGTTACAGAAGCCTGAAATCTAATTTGGTGAATGGTAACATGTGATGGCAGCGCAGGGGGACGAAGTCCAGATGTCTTGAAAAAAATGGTTGCGCATCATCTGATTGCAACACATTTAGAAAAAAAGAGCACGGACACTTGGCTGTGGTTAACACAGGCAGAGAAACGCAAATATATCACAGCCTGTTTGTGTGTATAAATCACCCCAGTAACCTCAGCAGCAAACAAGGCATGTTTGTGTGTGCGTGTGTTTGTGTGTGTTTGTGTTTTTGTGTGTGTGTGTGTGGGACGGAGGGAGGGGGGGAAAATGTGAATTTATGATTACAAGACGTCCAGAGCAAACATTAGGCCACTCCCATTTTCCCTTGAAAGTGAGCAGTGTGTAATTTTCCAGACCCCTCAATCACACACCTGAACACACACCTGAACACACACCTGAACACACACCTGGCCCCAACAACCTGGGCCTATACCAGCGGTCAATAATAACCATTTCCCTCTGGGAATATCAAGATATTTCTGATTCTGATTCTGATAAAAGGGTTAGAGGGAATGCAGCTTTTGCAAATCTTAAATGTTACCTTAAAAGAAAGCGTACATCTGGATGATGTGTTACTGGAGGTGTGGTTGTGGAGTCTAAGTACAGTCAGACAAAAGGGGGTTAATCTCGGTGTGCGTCTGATTGTGCGCTCAGATTTTGGATGTTAACGGGGCGTGTCGGGACAACACAGATGGAACTCCTCCGATTGGGAAACAGTTTGGACGTTTGGAGGTTTTGTTGCGCTCTTGTTTGCAGTAACCAAATGGTGACGGATTGACTTGGAGGACGGGAAGCCATTTGTCGTCCAACGACCGCAAAAAAAACCCTAAACAACAAAATATTGAAAAGGAGAGGCAATGTGCATGTGATCTGATGCTGCTCGAAGGGGAAAACCAGTCAAACTATCAACATCTAATGCCTTACATGCCTGTTTTTTATTTAATAGGTGTGCTTCCCTGTGTGAAACGGATTCAGATTCCTGGAGAAATACAAAATGTACTCTGATTTTATTAACATTCGAATTGCTGAATGGCATATCTTGGCAGGAGGTGAAGATAAGAACAAGCTTGAGGGATTTTCTATAGAATATAAACATCACAAACACATTGATGCCTTATTGATTTGAACTAGATAGAGGCAGGGTTGGCGTTTCTTATAGGCCGTTGTTTCCATGGCACGCAGCAGTGTGTTGTTTTGTTTAGATTCCTGCATATACATAGCTACCTTTGTCAGGAAACGGGGAAGGAAGTGACAGCTGAATGAGCAAACAGGATGCAGGGAGCAGGGCGGCTCTGCCGAAGCCAACAGGAAGTTCATACGGCATTAATAAGTGAGGCAGGCCGACCATAATTACTCACAGTGAGGAGCCGGGTTGTAATTCCGCAAGACATATCGCACTCCCATTGTACGAAATGTCTTTGTTAGATAATTACAGCGCTGCGGTCTGGATAATGGAAATACCGAGAGTCCTTCTAATTGTTGTGCAGATTACAATAAGCTAAACTTAATGAGCATTTTTGTGTTGTGGGAAAAGCAGACACCCTGTAACGCTTCTCCACCAAGCAAAACACTTAAAAGAGCAAACTTTGAACGATTAAACACCCCCAGGGAAATTCAAAATGGGTTCACTTAGAATCTATTTTCTAGAAACAGAGCACAGAGTGGAGACATTTCCATGCATTATTTGTTTTGTCTAACAGAAATCCCTATTAGAAAATGATTCGAGGCGCATTGGGAAGTCAAGTTGGATCCACTACCACTCTCTCTAACACTTACTTTGCCTCCGAATAGGATCAACATGGCAAACAGAGGTCCCGCTTACGGTCTGAGCCGTGAGGTTCAGAGTAAGATCGATAAGAAATACGACCCGGAGCTGGAGGAGAGGCTGGTGGAGTGGATCGTCGCCCAGTGTGGCGCTGGAGTCGGTCGGCCCGAGCCGGACAAGACCGGCTTCCAGAACTGGCTTAAGGACGGATGTGTGAGTACCGGGTCTCCAGAACTGGAGATATCTCCAACTTGCATCAGTTGTGGTATAACCAGAGACATTTGCTCGTTCTCTGTGTGTCTAGGTGCTTTGTGAGCTCATCAATAGTCTGCACGGAGCCAACAAACCGATCAAGGCCATCAAAAACTCCACCATGGCCTTCAAGCAGATGGAACAAATCTCCATGTTTTTGAAAGCGGCCGAAAGCTATGGAGTCGTCAAAACTGACATGTTCCAGACCGTAGATCTCTATGAAGGTAAAGCAGCCACCGGAGCCTTAGTTTACAGGTTTATTATGGAATGAATGAGGGCTTTAAGCTGTGCTCAGAGGTAGGAGGTTCTCTTCTATCTACCTGCTGAATCTGAGTTGATGTTGGGTGGTTGTATGTCTACAGGCAAAGATCTGGCTGCTGTCCAGAGGACCCTGATGGCCCTGGGTAGTTTGGCCGTAACCAAGGGCGACGGGAATTACAAAGGAGATCCAAACTGGTTCCATAAGTGAGTTTGAGTGGTATATATCAATGAGTCCGTCTGTGGATGGATAAAATACCAAATAGGTGTGAGGAAGGAAATGGTGGACTTATAGATCTGCGTTTGTGTGAGCAGAAAGGCGCAAGAGAACCGGAGAGACTTCTCCGAGGAGCAGCTGAGCGAGGGGAAGAACGTCATCGGCCTGCAGATGGGAACCAACAAAGGAGCGTCCCAGGCCGGGATGACGGGCTACGGACGGCCGAGGCAGATCATCAACAACCCCTGAACCCCTCAACCGAACCAGCGCCCGTCCTCCCTTACGGGGAGGCCTGTCAGCAGGGATGGAGAAACTCTGACTGTTACCCTCGGCCTGGAGGAGAAAAAAAGCAACCAGACTGTCTTCCGTGACTTAACTGGACCAAAATAGGGACCAAATAAAAAGCATGTGCACAAAAGAAATACACTCCATGAAAGGAAATTTGTATACATACAGTCCAGACCGTCAGCTGTACAACTAAAACGATTCGAAATCCTTTAAACGTTGTATGTTGTGGCATCCGTCCTTTGGGCCCTTGATGAATCCCGTTTTTCTGAATAGGATCATTTTAGCTTTGCATGTTTTAACCCATTATCTTCTAATCCTTCACATCACTGTAAACCACCGTGTCCAAACCATTTCACACCTTTCAAATCCTTGCGGAAATGCGTCTTTCCTTTCAAGATTTATTCTCTTTAGCTTTGTTTTTAACATGTACTTACCTCACCGTTGCTCAGCATTTATCAGGAGTCCCCGAAATCGAGTTTTCAATGCAGGAAACCACAATATCTGCGACGTCCTCGTTTTAATTTTGTTTATCTGAAACGACGCCCTTGTGTCGGCATGGTATCAGTTCTTGAACGCCGGAGTGTCATTGAATGTACCACCAAGGATAGATTTGAAAGTGCTACAAGCGCTAGAATAACGCAGCCTTGAGGAGAAAATGTCAAAGAGGACGTTAAACATAAAACAATCTTATGCTGACGGGTTTAAACAAGCCAACAGATCAGTGCAGTCATCTCTGAGGAGATCCGAAAGCTGGAATCAGTCTGCAGACTGTTGTTGTCAGCTATCCGGTTTCTAAAATGATCTACCGTTTTTTTAGGGTTTGGTTTGAAATAAAGATTGGTTTATCTTTTGAAAAGTGTCATGTGCCATGTTTTTGAGTGATTATTAATCAAATGGAATCAGGTAACCAGTCAAGGAATTGTTCAGAATTTGTTACCAGGTCTGGGATCCATTAAGTAATCTGTGGAAATAAAAAACGTTTGACCGTAAAAGACCAGAAGATGAGATTTCACAAAAACTAAACAGGTCAGATGTTTCTATAAAAAAAGGGAAACATCCAGATGGAATCACTGGAGTTTTGGATGGCCGAAATCAGAAAATGTTGGTGAAGAAAGACGATGATTTGAGAAACCAGGAAGGATTTCCTGAGAAACAAAGGGACCCCTGAAGACAAGAGCGTCAAACAATAGACTTCCCTTGTCTTTTCTTCCAGTCACAATCTAACGGCAGGAAACTGGGTAAGCACTTTTACGAAGAGGTAAATCAGGCTATTGTTCATGAGAAAGAAGTCACAATGATCTTTACAATGTAGAAGCACAGTGGGCAGCTTTCTGTCTCCAGTTACACATTTTCTCAAATTTACCAGTTTCAACAGAAAAACAACAACATAGTAGACCTTCCCCTTTCTAGATCCCACATAGTAATGTCCAGTCATACAGATAAAGTTGATTTTACATCCTCCTTTGTAGGGACTATTCACTCTTCTGTTGAAGATGCAGCTATTATTTTTGCTCCATTGAAATCTAGTTGTTTGCTAGAAGGAAGCTGTTTCCTTGGTGACCTGTTTCTCACACGTCAGGCCAAATCAATCTTTTAGATCCATATTTAGACCCAAACGAGATGGGTAGACGAGCAGGCGAGATTAAAGCAAACCGGCTAATCCTTTTTTTTCATTGTCAACCCAAAAAACTACCTAAAACCAAAATGTCTTCCTGTTTCCTGACAATTTTCAAGGTTCAATCGAGATTATTCTATCCTGTCATCATGTTTAACAGTATGCCAATTTGCACTAATGACTATGTTTACGACAAAGGGCAACCTCAATGAGGCTAATAAATAAAATCAAACTCAATACAGAATATCAGTCAGTTTTCTATCATCTGCTAGTCTTTTTTAACGTAACAGCGGTGATGACATCCACGGGGTTAAAGACTTGACCTTTTGGCTGGAGAGACGCCAGTTAAATTCCTTGTACTACCTGAGAAAAAGTGAATGGGGAGGCTGATTTTTACACTCTAATCCTTCAGCCCGGCGCTGTGGTGCAAGACACGGAGCTCTCAGGGCGGGAGAACAGACTGCTGCAGTGCTGACTCCACTGATATGCACGGGTCATTTAAAGGTTTCAGAACCGTTCGTTTGAAAGTTTTCGACGTTTTTTTTTTTTCTCAGACGTGTCTTAAGAGGAAGGATATCTATTTGCATACTGATAGTGTGTGCAAGATAAGGAACTTGTGACTTCTGCAATGCTTCGTTTCCAAAGTTGTTTGAGGTGCTTTCGGAGGGATTTGAAACAGGCTGAGCTGAAAAACGGAGTCCAGAACTTCAAAAACCCAGCCCGACTATCAGACTGGACGCAGTCGACTCACACCACTGCAGATCTTTGCTGATGTGGGTGGGTGATTTTATACTGTTTTCCACATTAGTGACACCTACTGGCTGCTCTTTCTCCATCCTATCGAACAATCTCATTCACACTTTTTACTCAAGTGTACTTTTATATGCGCATTTCCATTCACAAACAGGCAAAAAGATCCAACCGCATACACTTTTAGTCCAACGCGACGGCTATAAAGTCACAGAAAATGCAGTTTTAGACCGTTTGAGGCTGTGTAGATCACAGAGATGTAGATCAGAGATCGACGAGAGAACTACATCACAAAGACATTCAAGCAAGAAACGATCTCCAATGGTGGAGTGAGTAGAAGGGGAACAAGGCCTCAGCCTGACCAAAGACCTGCTGAATTAGCTCTAGAACCGAGACGGTTATTGAAAGGTGCAGTCCACAAATCAATGGGTGTTAATGAAGGTCGATGCCGTGGTCATGGAGCAGAAAGTCCCCTGTGAAGTCCTCTGGTGATGTTACACATGCTATAAAAGAGTTTAAAGCATCTTTATCTATATCGATCAAAAATATAAATATACATGCATATATCTATTTGTAAGTCATAATTATATATACATTACAATAGATGGTTTTAGAGGAAAACAAAAATAATACGGATAGTTTTTCAAAACAGTCCCTTGGTGATTGATTACAGGGAGCTTTTCCCTCTTTCGTTCACTCTTTCTTAATCTATTCATTAATCAGTTTCCCTGAGCCCCATGACATTTAACAGTGATGAAGCTTTATGCTAGAGTGCTCTTTTTCAGAGGCCGGAACCAAATTTGAGTTAGGAAACAGCAGATTTAGGGGCTGAATGCTACGTGTCAACATTTCTGTTAAAGACGACTGACATGTAGGCCAACATTGAGATGGAATTTGTGATTTCAAAACACAGGAGGGCTCCTCAGAGACGGCCGATTAGTGCGTTTAGCGCCTGTAAACGTTGAGTGAACGAGAAGGCCGATTCACGGGAGGTCAGGTGAAAAGTGGTGGGTGACGTGAGGTGATAGAGGCAGGTGTTTGTTGCCCCCGGTGACGGTTTAAGGCCAAACACAGAGGTCTGAAACGTGACCCATTTCTTCAAAACCTCAAGTCAAAATAAGTGCCGAAGGAGAGAGAAAAAGTCGAAGGTTCACAAAGTGGTTTTCGGTCCCCCGAGGAATATTTTCCCCACACCCGTTTAACACTTTTGCTAAGAGATGCACTTTATATCGTCAAATCACAGCAGTCTGTGGAAGTGTGAAGAGCTTTTTACAGAGCGGGAGCTCCTCAGTGTGTAGTTTTTAAGAAGGGGACTCATTGGTTTGATTCACGTACCCAAAAATAAGCATATTTCAGACACTGGTGGAAACCCTCTAGATATGTAATGTCAATAACTAGGCAGAAACCCCTCGAACGATCAGGGTTTTTTTTAAAATTCTGCTATTATCACGAGGACAACTTCTGTTCCTCTTCGTCTCTCAAATTGTATAATTTGATTGTGAAGTTAAGGCATGTGACGGGTGATCTTATGAAATCTTATGAAAAAGTCATAATTTCACAAAGGTCAGAGCAAGACGCCATAATGCGAGCCGTCACACCGAAGTCACATCGCATGATCTGAGAAGCTGAACCCCATGAATAAGTGACAACAAAGCCACCGGTTTTCAAAGGCATTTATTTTTGGAATCGTTTTTAAGGATATTTTCATGAGCAGGCTTCTCATTTTGCACAACGTGAGAAGATAGACAGGTATTCACTCCATTTGAACTCTCCGTTATCTTTTTGTGAAATGCATGTGATAAAAAAAATTCTGTTACAGTCAGTGAAGAGGAAAACAACAAATATTTAAGCAAAATGGGGTATTTTTCTTCATTTAAAACCTAGCTCTCTCACACATGAAATATTGAACTTATACCTAGAAACTTATTGGAAATCACCTAACCATTCATCACACTTGGCATGGTATTACCACCCCACTACCTAAAAGGGTCATAAATATTAAATGAAACATTTATCTTGTGTTTTTTTTTTTTCTTCCTCTTACTCTCCATGTCCACGTGAGGCTTTATAAGTTCCATTGAGTGGACAAGATTACATCCCAAACCGGTATAAAGTGCAATAAGGGCAGAAAAGCAGAAGTAGATTTTCTCACCGGGTAGCTGAAACTGTGCTGTTGAAAGTAGAAACACTGTGCTCTGACTCGTATTATATAAACAGATCATAATCGTATGAATATTTAAAGATAAAAAAAATGAGATGACGGGGATTTTAAAGGCTTCAGCCCATTTCAGGAAAAGCTGGATCTGGGTCTGTGTAAAGGTGAAGATAATCGGGAGACATGGGACAAGACTGAAAACAAGTAGTTTTTCATTTTAGAACACTTTGAAATTATCAACAAAAAAAAAAAAAACTTAAAAAGACTCACTCTGACTCAAAGGGCCTGTTTAATGGGCCTCTAAATGCTGAATCATTACTAAATGAGATCAACTTAGCGAGCACAATTTAATAAGGCAACGAACAACTGACTAGAAGAAAGGAACAAGCAGTGGGCCTTTGATCGTGTCTCCTTCCATTTACTTCTAAGATTTTTCCCTCTATTGGTGATTATTCTACACTTTTTCATTCCTGCAGGCTGCTTTGGGGTGGATCCTCCCTTTTCCTGTGAAACTAAATCACCGTCACATGATGGGATTTCTGTATGAACACAAATGGAAAACACATGTTTAGATCTTCCTTCCTTTTTATTGGAATGCTTTACCTCGATAACATGACGACGAGCCAAAAAACAGTGCAAATACTGTATTACAGCAAAGACAGACAAACAAACACGATCCGGCCACATTTCAGACGGCATTTTTCTCACATCTCGCATCTTATGTACAGCGGGGATCATCTTAGTTTATTATTCACACTTACACCGACCCCTCCTCAGGCATACTGTACACACAGCTATCCTCACGAACACTTAAGGCACACACACACGTACACTATTTAGAAAGCGACACATCACGCAAATGTGCAGAGCTTAAGACAGCAGAAATGTTGAATAACTCGACAAGAGCCACGACTCGAGTTCTTCTTACGAGAGCTGAGGATGCTGTCTAGCAAAGAGCGTGATGCTATTCAGTGCAGCTTAACCGTCCCTAAAAATACGGAGCAAACCGTGTTGACGGGTGTGGGAGAAGGACAAATAAAACAGGGTCAGGCGTTGAGAGAAGGCGGAAAAGTCAAACGACAGACGGTGAATTTTAAAAAGCCCCATAGATAGTTCCAGTATGGGTATAAACGTGTAATAACCTGCTCCCGTATCAAACTGGTTATGGGGAGGAATACGAGATCTGAAATGGAAGCAGTAAGCAGGGCTGTAGCTGTGGGGTTAACCACTTCTTTGCTCGGGTTTGTTAGCAGGAATTAATATCTTTCCCCTGTTTTTAAATATGCGAAAGATAACAAACAAAAAAAAACAGTGGAAAGGGAAAGAAGCACTACACTGGAAGGAAGCGATTGGAAGACCAATTATCATAACAGCACTAATATGCAAGAGTACGACACCGTCTTACTATGTGTGATTAATACAGAGCTCTCATCACAACAAAGCTGAGTCTGCATCATGCATGTGGTGAGTTTCTTTCTGTGTGTGACCCGTGGTTTCACACTGATGGACAGTCAGACGGCCACAGAGCGGCGAAAGCCAACGGGAAACAAGCTCTCCCCGTTTGGACGAGCTTCTGGAAATAACCGCTAAGACTAAATCAGTGACGAGTGGTTTTTACACGCATATTTAAGAGCGACTCAGCTAAGTGGATTCAATCCTCTCTGACCTGTGAGGACTCGCGCTAAAGAGTGACTTTCTGCTTAATACCGAACCTTTTGCTTGTGGTGACCGAGACCTAAAGAGGCACAGAGAGACATAGAGACGGGATTAGCTGATGAGGAAAAAGTCATTCCCCGATCTGTTCCTTGAATCATCTTCCAACCATAAAGAGAAACGTGCCCCCGAAATAGCACAAAATTGGGTAATGTTCTGTGTACTGGATTACTTAAATCTGTTTAATAGAAAGACTGGATCATTTTGTCAACATATGTATGTATGATCGTGAGCTTTTCTGTGACAGAGAAAGTAGTTTTATCCCTTTCTAGGTTAATCTGTGTGCACATATCTCTGCATTCCCATAGATTACATTCCTATCTGTGTCACTTAAGAGTAGTTTGACCTTTTTTTTTTTTTTTTTACGATAGCTTGCTACTGCAATCACAGTGTCTATGTCTGTAGAGGTCTCTCTCTCCCCTTTTTACAATCCTCCATACCTAACCTTCTGCTCATGACTGTTCCCAAACGGGCCTCAAAAGTTAAGCGACTTCTACTCCACCGGGTCCCAGAGACCTGTCTCCCTACACCAGCGGGTGAGACGTGCCTCTGGGGTGAAGGGGCTTCTTGGCGGGGGAATTTCAGGCCAGCGAGGCCCGCCTCTCCTCGGGCATCTCGTCCAGTACCTGCAGCAGCAGGTCGCTGAGCGGTTTGGAGATGCTGCGGTACCCCGCCGACGTCAGGTGGAGGAAGTCGAACATGTCCATGGTGCTGATGGTTCCGTCCGAGTGCACGAAGTCCCCGCCCACGTCCAGCAGCTGGGCCTGGCCCAGCCGGGGCAGCCAGGCGCGCAGGAGCCCGTTCACGGCCGCGTTCTTCTCCCTCAGGGGGTTCGGCCGCTCGCCCCGGGGTAACAAACCCTAAAAAGGGCCACAGACACATGTACAGGTCATGTACAGGGAGATGAAGTTCCGATTTCTCATCCTAATCTTGATCCAAAACATTGCCAAGTCATGTATAGGGAGATGAATTTGCTGCCTATTCTTATTTCTCATCCTAATCTTGCTCCAGAACTGATCAGGATTTTGACCCTGAAGACCAGGACCACAATAACCAACACAGTTTGACCAAGAAATGAGGCCAACAGATTCAGCATGAGATAAAACACACCAATTTAAACACTCAGATGAAGAAGAGGTAATAAGAAAGGAGAGATTATGAGAAATCTTTGTCTTTGGCTCCCTCTACAGTTGTGGGACAGAACATCGCTGTCACAAACTAATATTCATGTGATTTGCTCTAATGACAAAGAAATCGCTAAAACAAACACTCCAAAGACATTATCTGTGCCTTTTGGTCTGATATTTTTGTGCTTCGTCTCCTATATGTGTAACATGTTAAGTATGTTTATTTAAGAAGTAGGATGGAGATGTTTGTCTCTGGCTGTAAACATGACATACTGTCTAAGATATGAAGAACCGGTTTAATGGTCGTTGAGGAAAGAGAACGCAGAGTCAGCTGTTTTAGTGCGCTCGTAAATCAATTAAGAAAGAGATCACGCAAATAAAGCACTAAATCACTGAAACACAAACACTGTTTTCTGATTGTTTCACAATGGCCACATTCTCCAGCACGGATAAAAAAACACCCACATAGCAGCCTGACCCTGCAGGAAACTCCCATTTCATGGATTTGTGGCTCCGAGGGAAAGTTCCTCCACTGAGCAAAAACAAAATATGAGACAAGATCCTGACCGGAACTCACCAGAACAACAATCTTCGCTTTGGGGAGGCGGTTGGTGAGCAGTTGCGCAATGGCGAGAATTCCTCCGGCGACCTGCTCGGCCGTGTGCTCGTGGTTGTTGGTCCCCACCCACAGCACCACCACCTGGACACGGGAACACACGGAAACATGGGTCACCCTCACGGAGACTGCTCTAATGTAGAGAAAATGACACCGCTGGGCAACAAGAAGGAGCTCCATGCGTGCGTGAGCTCATGAAAGGGGACATGAGGTGTATCTGATGACAACCGTTATATTTCTGTTTCCATTTACTGTATTATTACAGCTATTTTATGGACCGTATTTTCTGTTGGAGATGTCAAGCTGGCTTATAGAGAAACTATGTACAATAGGACAATGTAACATACTAGGTGGATCTTTTTTTGTGTGTGTTTAAAGTTTAATCAATAAAAAGTTGAATTTAAAGATAAATAAATAAAAGAGTAGGTGTTTTGGGGCCAGTCTCACCTTGGGCCGGATGTTCTCCAGCTCTCCGTTTTGGAGCCTCCACAGCACGTTACAGGTGGTGTCTCCGCCGATACCGAAATTAAACGCGTGTAGTGGAGAAAACAATTCCCTCCATACCTGTGGATGGCAAAAACCTGAATGTTTATGTCTTACTCTGTTTCCAGCAGATAATGAACACATGTGTTCATAAACACTTAAGGCCAATCAAGTCTCCACCGACACAAAGCGGGGGGTCTCACCTCCTGCTGCTGCATTAGCTGCACCATTGAATCTCCCACGAAAAGCACATCTGGTTCCCCGTCTTTGCACTCCAGTACAAATCTCGCATGCTGAAAACACAGAGGGGCCGGTGACGACGGGTTTTCGCTAGGCAACCCTTTCAGTTTCAGGATAGCTAGAACCAAGTGATGTAAGGATAATACTAATGAGCCGTCCAACTCTGAGCAAATCCCACAAGCTCATCACGGTCGACACGCTTCTGGTGGCCCGTCTGATGGAGGGCTTGAACTAAAGCAGGCCGTCTCAGTCCTATTAGCCGCGGGGGATTAGCCTCGGAGAGACCTAGCATGGGGTGCAGCTAAACAAGCTAAATTAACTGTTCCACTGCAAACACGTAAACCTCACAAAGGGCGACAGTTTCAGCGTGCATTTATAGGAAGATGTTTTTCTTCAATTAATCTTATAAGCCGAGTGCTACTTATATAAGCACATCTGTTTATATAATTCATATCAATTCAAATAACAGTGCAATAACTAGAATAACATGAAGGTAAGGCACAAAGTGCCACGTTTATACCAAAAATAAGACAAATTAGCTGCTGTCTGGTTTTCGTGTAGGATTTCTTATGCTCAAATCTGGGCAGAATTGTTCAAGAGGTATTCATTAATACCCTGTTTGGGATTTGTGAAAGCTTTTTCTGTGAGGGCCATTTTACTGCTTTTTGGCATTCTGATCACCCCTGACCACATCCTGTGTGAAAACTCCAAGAGTTGGACTGCTCAAATGAGTACATAATTGTCCTGGAGAGTGTACAGAGTCTGTGCTCTGGGGGGAAAAAAGAAAAAAAAAAAAAGGCTATCTGAACTTTCCACTTCTGCATTTGGACGATGCATATCAAAGGTGAATGGTATGAGGGAAAAAAGGCAGTAAAAATTGTCATTTTCTGCATTGTCATGAATCAGAGAAAGTTTAGACAAATCCCATTTGTACATTCGAATCTATATTCTTAAAGATTGTTCATTTGTACATTCGGATCTATATTTTTTAAAGATTGTATTTTTCAGTTTTATCATTTCTGTCCTACATTTTTATTTCTACATTTTATTTCTTGCTTCTCATAGAAGGCACCAAGGCAAATTCCTTGTAAGTCTAAAAACCTACTTGGCAATAAACCTTCTTCTGATTCTGAAACAAGGTATTAATGGATACAGAATAGTTTTGATCGGATTGGGGCTGTCAAAACATTTGAGTTAGGATCCAAACCTATGTGATGATCGCCACCTGGTAAAACACAACCGTTGGTTTTTGTGGATTGTTTTTCCCCAATCACACACACAAAAAAACAATGAGTTCCGGTCGCGCACCTGTGACAGCCAGCGTCCGTCCCCGTGCACGTCCTCCACCGGCAGGGCCTCCGCGGCCGGGTTGGCCTCGTCGCCGCTCATCCTGCGTCAACAAAGCGAGAAGCGGCCACCTCTGTAGCCGAGCAGACAAAAAAAAAACAGCCAGAAAACATCACACATAACACCAAAAAAATGAGGAAAAAAAAGACGCCCTCGAGCCTATTTCGACCGGAGAACCAGCGGGATGGAGGCAGACATTACCGGGATGCTGACGGTCGGTTATTGCGGATCTAGGCCACTTTGGTTCTCTAATGAGGGCGTTTACGGATCCGAAAACACACCGAGTTACCTCCACCGGGATGCTGTTTATTAAACGTTAGCTAGTTAGCCATCACCGCTACCGTAATTATGCGAATATAAAAAACAAAACAAAAAAAACCGTACTCTCGTATTCGAAAAGAGAAACTGCCCGGAGGGGTGTAACTTCTCCCACTTCGCCGCTAACCCTTCAGCCCCGGCTTCCCCGTTACCAGTGGAGGGTGATGCTCGTTTGTGGAATTACCCACCCATAAAAAGATAGCAAAAATATAGATTTAAACCGGGTAAATCACGGAGCCCGCTCGGCAGGGACTGACAACGTTAGTTACCTGTCAGCTAACCCGGGCCGTAACCGTTAGTGGGCGAGTTTCCCTCAATTTGGCTTGTCAGGCGACATTTCCAGTTGTTTTTAAATATTAGCACGGGGTCATTTCGGCTCCTTATGAGGCTACGTCTTATTGACACTCTTACCTTCCGGTGTGTTGGTGTTTTTTTTAAGCCCACACAGTTTCTAGGTGCGCTCTCCTGTGAGGTAATCGCGAGGCAAAAATGACACCATAAGACGGCTGGTGCCGCAATGAATCATGGGTAGCTCGCAAGTTCGATTACAACGTCCATCGTCAGAATTCTGAAAGAATTCACGGTCCAGAGCACCCTTGATGATATGAGTTCATATTAAATAGTAGTTAAGAGTATATTGCATCAAACTGAGACGGTGTCATCTAATCAAAAACGCCGACAGCTTTGTTGTGGACTGGTGACCTGTCAGTGATCCCGGTTTGCTGTCAGCTGATCACGATCACGTGACAGATTCCGATTTCGCATCTCCAGATCTGCATATTTTCAACTGGAGAAAATACAAGAAGATCATCCAAGCTTTGTTCCTGTTTTCAATAAAGTCGTTATTTTGTGGAAATCGTTGTTTTAACTTATTGTTAAACCTCCTAGAAAAAGCTTTCCTATCATTTATTGAAATAGCCCTCAGGAATGGTTTTCCAGGCTTAATGAAGAGTGTCCCAAAGCTTTTCTTTAGATGTTGGTTGCATTTTGTTCCTTTTTCTGTCAAGATGATCCCACACTGCTATAATGATATTAAGGTTCTGGCTCTGGGGAAGAATCAACTATCCATCAGAGAAGATGGTACTGATTCTTATGTCACTTGGCATACTTCAGCCTTTCAGCCTTTGAATAAAAATATAGTGCTAATAATTCACATAGAAATGTTTTTCAACTGATGACATCAGCTTCCCACAGTAGTGAATAAGTACTAATATACAATTCTAAATAAGACAACTTGTTAAATAAGACATAACAATACAATGATATAACATATAATATCATATAAGTGAAGTCTTAAAATTATCCAAAAGAAATTTTCTTTTTCCATGAAAAAAAAATGCTTACTATGCCGTTCTGATTTCCTCTAAGAACTGAGCAAAAAAACGTGTACTTCGGATCATCAGTGATGGCTCTGGAACACATGTAGTCCTCAATCATAATGCTTATTATTTTTGTTTTTGTAATTTTTGTCTGCAGTGTTTCTTTATTTTGGATGAAGCCTTCGGAAGTCCATGTGTTAATATCCAATGCTAACTATTGTTGTGCAGTTTAAAAAAGTATTGACAAAAACCTGCAGACAAGAATAAATTGACTATGTGCCAGTGCCAATGTGGCTGTTAATCTATTGAAACAGGTTCAGCAGTTTCCTGTGCGTGTACAGACAGGCCCCGGGAGTCCTGTAGGTTCGAGTAACAGACTCTGAAAAACGTGTAATGACAGGCTCACTGCTGCTCCAACCAGTCAAGACATGAAAAAGGCTTCTGCCGAGCTGAAAAGAGATGTTGAGAATCATCCAATTAATTGGTATTAAACACTATTAAACACTTCCACACACAACTGAGTACAAGATAAGAGAAAGAGATTTTCAAGATGAGTAGTAGAAACTCTTTTTTTATTTTATTATGCAACTGATTTAGATTTTTTAATGTATTTATGTATTTAAAGACATGTCAGTCAATACATTTTCTTGGGTTGAGCCATTCCTCTAGGTTTTAGTTGTTTCGTATCGAATTGGTGTGTCTTTAATGAGTTCTATTTTGAAGGGCCACAAGGTAAAGAGATGACTATGATATTAATCCATCCATCCATCCATTTTCTGCACTGCTTAGTTCTCATAGTCACTGAGTGGCCTGAGCCCAGGGCGGGAAGTGGGGTCATCAGCACAGAAAGGCCTCCAGGTAGAGTCTGAACCGAGAGCCCTCTGCTGTAAACCAGCACACCAATGGCGATGATAAACCCCCCTTCAGTTCTCCTCTCCATCAGTTAATCAGGGAGGATTAACTGTCATTTGCACATACACTCACAACTAGAAATAGCTTTTGCCAATTTACTGTTTCACTTTAAATTGTTAAATCATGTATGAAGTATCAGTATTTTTCCTCCATATATTTAAAAAAAGATGTTTACTCTGATCACCTACAGGAAATGTTTGAAATCAGTTTAATTTGGAGCTTAAAGGGAATTTAAATTTAATGAAAATTCAGAAAACAGTTGTTTCTGTCAAACCGAATTAAACTTATACTTAGTTTAATACATTAAGCCTGCTTTTACAACATTCTTTAGTGGTTTTTGGAGATCAGCTGTAACTCGGTATTTAAAGAAATCATGTTTTTTATTTATTTTCATTGTAGTGATGATATTGTAACTTATCCTATGAAGAGCCCCCTAAGCAGCACCTTGATGGGAAAATACCTTTCTTGGGCTCAGTTTGGTTCCGTGATGTGACGCTGTGGCCACAAGATGGAACCAGCCAGCCGAAAACCGCCTGCAACAAATCAACCTTTTATATGACTATCCAATCTGGCATTTACACACATGCCTTCACACATACGGATGACTTCCAGAGGGAAACAAACAAAGAAAAACTATATTCAGGCACTGGGAGGGGGGGGTCGGTTTAAGGCGTAGAACAGGTTATGTAAGATGCGTAAACGCCGCCCATCAGGTGCGGAC